AGGCTAAAGGGCCGTGGCCTCCGTACCGCGGAGGCGTGGCGGTACCCCCTTAGCTCCTACTCCGCTATTAACGATTAGCTTAGGCTAACCTACTTAACTACTAGCCTACTATACTTCCCGTTAGCTATTAGCCTAAAGGTGTGATCCAGATATATAGTAGAGACGAACCAGGGCTATATCGGCCCTATAGCGGTACTACTCCACCTAAGGAAGTGTTATAGGGGTTTTCCCCGGGTTTTACCCGGGTTTTCCCCCCTATAGCTACCTAAGAAGGACCGTATAGCCTAGAAAGGCTCCTATAGATTAGTTAGGATAGCGGAGTAAGATCGATAATAATAATAATAATACTAACCTTAGGAAAAAGTAATAAGGCTAACTACGGTGCTACCTTTTCTTAGACCTTTTAAGGAGGAGAAGGGTCTAGCGCGATTACTATATCGGGAGCCTTTACGGGATATATAGCTATAAGTAGTATCGCTATTATCGCTTCTGTAGCTATAAGGGTATCCTAAAACGCCGTATAGGCGTTAAGATACGGTTTTTACTCCTAGAAAAAGAGTTAGCGATATAGTTATAACTTTAAAAGGGGAGGAGGTTATATAGGGGCGTTCTTATTATTATCGCTAATACGGGTAACTATCTTAAATAATCTCTATGCATAGCCTTTAAGGTATACTAAAAGAGGAGTATACTAGTATATCTTTATAGAGTATATATAGTATTTCTTCCCCTAATTAGTCTAACTACGATAAAGGCACTTATACTTTGTATTAGCGATATTACATATATAAAAAAGGTATAGCTTAGTATAAATACCACTCAAAGGGTGCTTAGGAGGCCGATTACCCGCCGATTTCTTCTTTTTAGGTAGCGGCGATAACCCGACCTATTATATAGTTAATATCGCTATAATGTATAAGAGTATTATACCTATATCGTTATCGGCGGCACGCTTACTACTATTATTACCCTTATTATTGCCGGGGGCTAGCGCTGTTTACGAAACGATATAAGTTAGCGGAGCGTTCCTTATACAGAAATCGCGAGTAAGAGATAGCTTACCTTAGACGGGAAACTCTTAAACTAGCCGAGTATTATTAATATTATCTAAAGATAGGAGAAGTTAGAGGAGTCGTCGCTATAAGGAAGAACGAATACGTACGGAACCGCTATTACTATTATTATTATTATTAAAGGTAGGGAGGTGAATAGAGGAAGAGAGAGCCTATAAGGAAAACAGGGCCGATATATCTACGGATAGTATTTACGCGAGGGAGGCCTATATTACTTTTTCGGGTATATAAATAAAGGTTAGTAGGCGATCTAAGATTTCTTTAATATTAAGGTAAGCGCGAGGTAAGATAAAGAGACACGACTATTCCTTTATTACCGTGACGTAAAGAGGAGCCGAGCTATAACGGGGATGCACGGTTATATAACCCCTAGAGGGAGAGGGGGGTGATAGTATTACGGGTTAACCCCGATATAAAGGATCCGGCTATACTCCGGATCTTCCTAACTACGCGCTTATTCAACGGACGTATATCGCCTAGTTATCGCCATCTTATAGCTAGCCTAACGCTATAGACTTTTCTCCTTTTCCTTCTTCCTTCCTTAGTTCTAGATAATCTATTATTACAATCTTACTAAGTGCTACGACCTATAACTAGTCGTTTATACTCCTTTACTAAAGGCCTTCTTAAGCTATTAGTTCTTATAGGTAGCCTACTACTATACCCCTTTGGTAAAGGTAACGTAGATATCTCCGCTAGGCAGCTTTTGTACCGCTACGGCGTTTTATTCGGTAATTATAGTATTTATAGCTTGAATAATTTCCTTTAGGGTCCTAACTCTAAGGGGCTAGTCTTTAGAGAGGGTTCCTTAGCGGATCATTAGTTTCCGGTAATACCTAGCGGGGATTATTTTAAGGGGGCGGGGTCCCGCGGCGGTACCGTTATAGGAGCTTAGGCTATAATATTAGCCTAGGTCTTTTTTATACCGCTTATTCCTTTTCGGAGTTCCTCTCGGATAATATAGCGGATAAATACGTATAAGTATACTAGTAGTAGTATACCGGCGTTATTATAGGTACTACGTATTATAATTAGTTCCTCCACTAACTCTATAACCTACTTAATCGTATTCCCGTTAGCTAGTAGGGCCTAAATTTCTGCCTTAATCTTAGCTACTCTCGGTTCTAGGGGGCGTGGTGGCCCCCTTTCGGTCTTATATCGGTTCTGCGCTATATCCTGCCTCGAAGGGGGGGGGGGGCGCTTATATTACGAGAAGTAGGTCCGTTATAAATTCTATATAGTCGAGGTCGGAATAACGCTATCCTACGTCTTTTCCGGCTATACCGTAGCGTCGGTATTACGGTGCCGCTAAAATAGTATCCCGGGAGGGAGGCGGTAGTTATAATCTCTATCTCGGTAGTTTTATCGATTTTGCTCCTATTACGCGCCCGTGGTTAATAGGCTAAAATAAATATTATAAACGTTTTTAAGTTAGCTATCTAATAATACCCTTCGCGCCGATTTTAGGCGTGTTACAGCGGTTTACGCTAAGCCCGAAGACCAGGGTTATTCCTAGGAGTAGGGCGGCTATTAAGGCTTTTAGTAGTGCGCCGCGGCCCGCACTACTAAAAGTAGGGCGGCTAACGTGAGTTATAGGAGGGAGGTAGCTTAGCGTAGTAGTAGTATACCCTCTCTACTATAATATAGCTACTAGTCTTATAGCTAAAGTATAGGTATTTATAATACCTTAGGGGGGCTAAGGTTAGGGCCGTATAGTTTATAGATATAGCTAGCCCCCTTAAAAAGAATAGTATTCCGGATAAGGCTTACCGCCCCTTTAGAGAAGCCGATTCGATAAGGAGAAATATAATCCTATTAGTACTATATCGGGGTAATCGCTATCACGGTTATAGGAATTTACCCTTAGGATTTATTTCTTATAAGGACACTAGTAGGTGGTTTTCGGATAGGGCATTAAGGACCTCCTAAGGCTTTATAAGTATAAGGTAGGTTCGCGTAGCTAGTATAACTCCTTTACTAAAAGCCTTCTTAACCTATTACTCCTTATAGGTAGCCTACTATTATATCCCTTTAATAAAGGTAAGGTAGATATCTTTATTAGGTAGCTTTTATATCGCTATAGTATTATATAAGCTAATTATAGCGTTTATAGCTTAGATAACTTCCTTTAGAGTCCTACCCTTCAGGGGCTAGTCCTCGAGGAGGCCTCCTAAGCGGAAAATTAGTTCCTAGTAGTGCTTAACGGGGATTATTTTAAGGGGGCGGGGTCTCGCGGCGGTATTATCACGGGAGCCCGGCTATAATAATAGCCTAAGTCTCCCTTATACTACTAGTTCCTTTTCGGAGTTCTTTCCGGATAACTTAGTCGACGGAGGCGTATATATATATTAGCGGTATTATAGCCGTAGTATTACGGTTATAGCGTATCGTGATTAGTTCCTTTACTAGCTTAACGACCTATTTAATCGTGTTTCTATTAGCTAGTAAGGCCTAAATTTCTGCCTTAATTTTAGCTATTCTCGGTTTTAGGGGGCGTAGTAATCCCCCTCCGGTCTTATATCGGTTCCGCGCGGTATCCTGCCCTAAAAAGGTAGGGGGGAGGGAGGACGCCTATATTACGAAAAATAGGTCCGTTAAGAATTTTACGTGGTCGAAGTTAGGATAACGCCGTTTATCGAATCCTCTAGTCGCACTATAGCGCCGGCGTTACGGTACCTTTATAATAGTATCCTAGGAGGGAGGCGATAGTTATAATTGCTATCTTAGTAGTTTTATCGATTTTACTCTTATTACGCGCCCGTTGTGAATAGGCGTTTTTAAAGCCTATATATTAATCCTAATTACCAGATTTAAGGACCTATTAGAAAGAGTAGGAGGCGGGGTGATTATTACGTTATACCTATAACTATAATAATATACTCTGCTAAGCAGTGCTTCGTATAACGAGAAATAGCTTATAGGGGGGTATTAATATTATTATAAAATAATATCTAAGTATATTTTATACTTATATGAGCCTCTGGCTTAATATTAGAGCTCTACTATAGTATAGCTATACTTATATTATACTTAGATATATCCTCGATTTATATATAAGACTACTTCGTATATTAAATATCTAATAGTACACTATTAAGGATAGTACTATATCGAATATTAGTATCATACGATAGTGTTATACTATATAAGAGACCAGAAGTACCTACATAGGTGGGGAATTCCCTTTTAGTGTCGCGGTACATTTTCTGTCTAATAGTTATAAGCCCGGGAGGATTTATCCTGTAACTTCCCTGCAAACCTACTAAAGGGAACCCGTTCGAACCCTAGCTGAGGAGATATCTTAAAAGAAAAATTGGAGAGATCCACTAGAGGAGCGTTGTATCCAATCATAGAAGAGAGCCGCCTTAATACTAGTAATATATCTAGCCTTTATTAAGTACGAAGATCGTCCTTTATATAAGGCTAGGGGGGGTGTTATACTATATAAGAGACTAGAAGTACCTATATAGGTAAGGAATTCCCTTTTAGTATAGCGGTATATTTTCTATCTAATAGATAGCGTGGCGTGACGTAATAGACTATATCGTATAACCACGTTTTTACTACCTCCGTTCGGGTTAGATACGATACCCCGAATCTCGGAATGTATTCTTCTTTTCCTTATATAAGTCATATACAACGAAGGAATCCATACTTCTTCGTACATAACAATCTAAGTGTTTAAGAATTAATTCCATTTTTATTCATTTCTATCTTAATTATTAAAAAGGTCTATATAATAGGAGGCGGTAGTTATAGTTATTATCTTAGTAGTTTCGTCGATTTTACTTATATTACGCGCCCGTGGATTAGTATATTAATAACGCGTTTTTATAGTATATAACTATCTTATACTACTCTACGTAATAAGTATTAAATACATATTAATTTAAAGCTCAACTTATAATATAGACGCTTATAAGTATTGCGCATTAAAAGCACTTCTCTATTACTCCTGTACGGTCTGGGCACTGGCTTATAGAACTAGTTAGGGTTCCGTTATCTACCCAGGAGGGTTCAGCGTGTCGACAAACGTCCTCATAGTCTCGTAGCGTGAGGCTGTCCAGCAGCACATGAGGAGTCGTCCAGAATATTTGCCAATTTGTTCCGCCCAGCTTATACGTGCCCATTGACCTTTCAAAGTACCATTTATTGACCGGATTGTCCTTCCTGCTTCTCCAGCATACGCCGTCGGGAAAACAGCTCCTGACCATCGCGTTGAAGACAACGTCTGCCACTCCTCCACTGCCCTGGCGATTCTGAAGAACCGCAAATTTATCGAGGTATGGCACCAGTCGCCCACTCTGGTACGCTGCCTCGGGTTCGAGGCAAGATGGCTTCTCCCACGTCAGGATCGCAACCCCTTCGTACTCTCCTGCGATTATGACTCCGGCTAGAGTATTGTTGACTCTGTCGAGGTAATGTTGGAGTTCGAGTTTCCGACCGAATGAGTTTTCAATGAGAAATTGCAGTCGCCCCAAGTCTATACATGTATCTGTAAGTTTCATTCGGGCCTCTCCTGGTCGTGGGGGCACCCATGGCCCGTTGGTAGGGTCAGGATAAATTGTGAGTGGCATTCCGCGTTTAACGACGGTGGTAAGATGCGTTTTCTCGTAGGGCACCTTGCCTGCCTGATCAGTCCGCACACGCTCCAGTGGTAGGGACGGTGAAAGAACCGGCTTGTCCGTGAGGAGGTTGTGTATTAGAGGGTTTAGTCGGTTGCGGGTCGCGACAGCAGGGACTCGTTCAATAGCTTTCAGTGCAGCGGTCGATGGCGTCGTGATAATTGTCGCGGACGTTTCCGGGAGTATTGCGAGCACGTTTTGGGACAGCTGCAGATTCCGGATGTGTACACGACGTGACTCGTCAATCAGGTGTGCCTCGCGCCCTTCCTCCGCACCCTCATGTCGGAGCTCTTCCATTATGTGCTTGAATTCTTGTTCCAAGTTTATAAACCGGTGAGAAGACTCGGAATGTACCAAAGGGATGCCCCCAAGCGGGTCAAGAATGATTATTCGCTCAACGGATGCAATTCTAGGCGGCAGTGACATCGAAACGTTGGGGTGGGACACACCGTCATCGGCGTCTTCAAATTGCAAGCCCGACAGATATTTGACGAGAGCCACGATGACATTATCCGGATCCACAATACCCGCTGTACTCATATCGTGGGTCAGGGCGATAGGAGGAATGATGACCAGAGCATCGTCGTCGAGTGCACGAATCAGCGTATGTGGGAACCGGACTACAAGACTCGAAGGCATGAAGTTCGAGCAACGTGCCGGATTGCCCATGAAGATCTGGTCGAGCACCCTCGCACCCGGTGGCCCGAAACGGTCGATGGCTATTTGAATTCTGTGGGTTTGATGCCTGTACGTATCCCTGGATGCGGCCAATTCTTGATGAAGAACAATGATACTGAGGAGGCCCAATTTGCGTAGATATGATAGGGTCTTCGCAATTCCAGTTAGAGCCTCGTCATCCAAGGCGTCAAGCTGACGTAGTTTAACCAAAGCCACATTGGGAGGTTCTTCTAGAGTACGGACGGGATGGGGTTGGGCTCTTTGTTGGATAATGTCGTTGGTGGGGGTGGTCAGTATGGATCGTAACGGATATGGGCCGAATGGTGGCAGGGAGGACGAGTTCTTCCCAGCCGAGCGCGTCTCTTTCTGCGGCGCTTGAGGGGCATATTTCTTGAGATACCCCTGAGCCTCACGTCTCGTTGCTGAAGCCTGCAGAACGGACACGACAATATCCTGCAGAGCATGTCAGGTTGAGTATAATACCGGGAGACCACAGGTGGCTACTTGTCTGTCCTCGGTCCTTCTCTTTTCATTGGACTTGCTACTCCATGGCGCTCTCATACTAAGGTGATCCCGGATACACGATACAAGCTGGCATGAACTGCTGAGCCTGTGAACGCTCCGTAGTCGAGCTGAGGCATGACTGCCCACAATCATTGGTGCCTGGCAGATCTTAGCTGTGATATGCCGAACAGGAAGAGAACTGGTATCACCTTTATATTGAAAGCTCCTGCCTCTCTTATCGACGAAGGGTGATGGACTGTCGTGCGATGCTGGGGATCTCGAATTGACTCAGTAGACTAATTTGGAGGCTCTCCACTCCGTATCCACGGACTCAAAAGTACACCTATGCAGAGTTTGTCAGATACAGCGCAACCGGAAGGGTCAAAAATAGTGTCAAAATTACAGGGTAAATTGATTAAGATAATTGTCTGTAATTGTCAGAACACAAATAAGGTACGCGGAATTGTGTGTGTATTTATCTAAGTGAAGTTTATGATACTTTATAGGGATGTCTAACTATAGGGGAAAAGCAGGGGAAATAACTATAGATATATAGGATCGAGGTACTCCACACGTCTAATATAATATAGTTTATTATACCCCGATAAGGTGGCTATAGGTATCTAACACACCCCCCTAAAACTACAAGCTTAATGCTAACAGTTCTGCTTAAATTTAAAGCCGTAAATCTAGGGTAAAATAGGCCTAGATATTAATTAACGGCGTTATAGGCGTTAAAGCCAAAAAGCAGTTAAAAAGTATTAAAAACAGTACCTAGATAATAGTCTATAAGGGTATAAAAACACTTAAAATAACGGTCTAATTAACCGTTTTCCTTTAATTAAAATATAATAGAAGGACTTTATCCCTATTAATTACTTTAATCCTATTTCGGGGGGACCTCTATACTAAGCAGATATATAAACTCCCTATATTTTTACGGTAGGAGTACCTTTCTAAGGCTATCGCTAACTATATTATTAGTAAGGATCTAATTAATTAAGACAGTCCCCTTTTAGACGGTTTATCGGATCTAAAGGGCGTAGATATTAAGATACTTTAATTTTAAGCTAACCTACGGCCTAGGAGATTCTAGTAATTACTTAGTTTATTGATTATCGTAGTATACTATTAGTGGTTCCTACTTAAAGGTTAGCGTTAAGTCCTTTATTAAGCGCCTTATCGCGATATACTGCCTAGTAGTAGTAGAAAATACTATAAGCTCGGCTTCGGTATTAGAGGTCACGACGCTTATTTACTTATTAGCCTTCTAGTCTATAGGACCCCCGAAAAGAAGGGTCGTATAGCCTTATAAGCTATACCTAGTCTTATAATCGTCCGTGAAGGCGGCGTTAAAGGTATAAAAGAGTATAGGCTTTTAGTAGTCTTTACGTGGTCCGAAGTAAAGGTATAGGGTCCTTATTAAGCCGAGATACTCTAGGCACTTATCGGTAGCTTTATAATACTATTTTAAAGGTTTAGTGCTAAATTCGGTAATCCTCGAAGCGGCTTTAAAGATATTAGGCCGGGTCTAATAGGCGGCGTAGTTAATAGAACCGACCGTCTAAAGATATAGATAGATTAAGTCTTCGGAGACTTATTATTTTACAGGTTATAGAATAGTAGGATAAGGAAAAGGCCTTTTAACCCTATAACCTCTATAATCCACCTATACCGCCTTTATCTTATCGGTGATATAGTTATTAAGCGATAACCATAGTTAACGTTATTAACGATCGCGTCCTACATGGATTCTAAAGAACCACTGAAGTAGTCCTAGATTCCCAATTTAGAAGCTCTTCTATATCTACTATACTAGGTTATTAGCAGCAGATTAATATTCTTTATAGTAGATTAGGATAATATCGTTAACGTAAAAGAAAGTAATCAGGATCTTGTTCTTAAAGACGTAATCGTCTTCGGTTAATTACTTTAAACTGCACTTACCTAGTACGGAAGAGAGCTATTAGTGCTATAGCTTTAGGAAACGCCGTAGGCTATATAATACCCGGCGTAGCCGTTAAATCCCTCTACGTTATTTAGAGATATAAGTGGATTACTTTAAAACGTCCTCGAGCTAATCGTGGGCTTTAAGGCCCGTAGCCGACTAAAGTAACTACTAACTAGGAGGGTCCTTAATATAGATTTCCTCGTTAAGCAGGGTATTAGTGAATACATTAACGGCGTTAAGTTACTAAGTCTTAAGATTAAAGTGGGCTATAATACCTATTAGGGACCTAAAGGTCCTTCTAGCGAGGGTAAAGACGTAAGCGTTAAGGTAGTTATTTAGTTATTAACCCCCTTAAATGCAAAGGCGTGCCTTAAACTTATTAACGTAGCCTATAGGATTGACCTTATACTTAAAACCCCATTTAAGGTCTAGTAGCCTTAGAACTAATTTAGACAGTCCCGAGCCTTACCCGTACTAGTAGGACTATTCCTACCGTTTAAAGGTGCCTATTAACCTAAGCGTGCCGACCTCCTATAATGCGGCCTTAATCTATTCTAATTTATAGGGACTCTTTAGTATTTAAGACTAGTTTAGAGGTTCCTTGGGTATATAGCGGCGTAGTAGCGGCTTCTTCGGTATCTCGATGTAATTATAGAAGGTATAAAAGGAAGGAGGGGTATATCGGCCGCTTAAACGCCTACTATAAGTAGGCTAATCGGTAGCGGCCGTCGGAATAATAGGAGGGCGGCTTCTTCTACTAGTAGAAGAGGAAGATTAGTTAGTAGTAGTAGTAGAAGAAGAGGCTTAAGGAGACTTAGCCGTCGTAGGAGCCGTATATACCGGGTTAACGGCGGTAGTAGTGGCAGGAGTTAGTTCCTCGTTAAGAACCGATTAGTTAGGGGATAATAATCTTATTTCGACGGCTTAGCCGGTTACGGCCGTATTAGCGTTAGATTAATCTTCGACATCGTCAGATCGTTTACAAATAGGCGGCAGATCCGTAGTTCTGGTTAGTGGTATAGGAGGGCCGTTTATAGTTATTAGACGAGGGAAAACAGGTGCTATTAGTATAATTATAGGTGTAATTATAGAAGGCGTTATTAAAGCAGGTACCGCCGGAGGCGTGGAAGGCGTTTTAGGGCTTATTTACCCTGTTCTATATGCCTCCTATGCCTCCTAATTAGTTGCCTGCTATTATTATTCTTCTGTAGATTCTGTAGTGGTTATTAAACCTACACCTCTATCCACCCCCCTAGAAGCACTAGCAGTAGCAGCAGCCGCCGCTATAGCCTCTCTTATAGTATTCTGCTCTAGTAGTAGTTAAAGCAGAAGATCGGTAACGTTAGTAGTAATAGCAAGAGGATCGTGGAGTTAATAATCCACCGGCAGGTTTAATTGGTCGAAGACCTCTTTGGCAACCGGCGGTTCTATATCGCGATCTTTATATAAGAGTTTTTTATTAAAGGTAATATCTCTCGTACGCAGGATCCTCCCTAATTTTAGAACCTAAATCCGGTGTATATTAGTGCTCTCGTAGCCAATTAAATACCCGATATATACTCTTTCGGCTAACTTAGCATTACGGTTACGACTCTATTAGTAGTCAGCGGTTAGTGAATAGGCTCAATAACTATACCTCTTTAGGTAGCTAACGATAGGCTTTATCAGGATCTTCTTCAGCCCTTATTTATTACTCTAATCCTTTATCTTCTCTTACGGGGTTTTCTACTAGAGGTCCTTTTAAGGGATAAGGTTATATAGATATACTATAGTAGCCACTAATTCTAGCTATATGTCCTATTAGATACCTAAGGCCGTTACGACGGTCCTCGCGATAGTAAAAATAACGCCACTATAGCGCTCTGCCTTCGGATTCTATACCGCTATATAAAGCGACGACCTCTTAAGCAAAATCCCTCTCTTATCGGCCTATTTATTAAAGCCTTTCTAAAGGGATCTTTCTCTATCCAGGCGGATTACTATAATTATATAGTGGTACTATCTTTAAAGGAAGAACTTGAAATTTACTAATATAGGTAAGGCTAATTTATAGTTACGTAGTAACCTTATAATAGCTTACCGAGTATAGAGATCGTATAAAAGCATCACGACCTTTATACTATTATAGGCTTTGTTAAGGCTAAACAGGTTAACCTCTACCCTATACTACGTGTAAACGACTAGTTATAGGTCGTGGTATTAAGTAAGGTCGTAATAATAGATTATCTAGAACTAAGGAAGGAAGAAGGAAAAAGGAGAAAAGTCTATAGCGCTAGGCTAGCTATAAGGTAGCGATAAGTTAGCGATATAGGTCCGTTAACTAAGCGCGTAGTTAGGAAGATCCGGAGTATAGCCGGATCCACTATATCGGGGTTAACCCGTAATACTACCCCCCCCTCTCCCTCCGGGGGTTATATAACCGCGCGTTACCGTTATAGTTCGGCTCCCCCTTATATCGTGGTAATAAAGGAATAGTCGTGTCCCTTTATCTTACCTCGCCCTTACCTCGATACTAAAGAAATTTTAGGTAGCCTACTAACCTTTATTCACGCGCCCGAAATAGTAATATAGGCCTCCCTCGCGTAGATATTATCCGTAGATATATCGGTCCTATTTTCCTTATAGGCCCTTTTTTTCTTTATTCCCCTCCCTACCTTTAATAATAATAATAATAGTAATAGCAGTTCCGTATGTACTCGTTCTTCCTTATAGCGACGATTCCTCTAATATCCCCTATCCTTAGATAATAATAGTGATACTCGGTTAGTTTAAGAGTTTCCCGTTTAAGGTAAACCGTCTTTTACTTATAATCTTTTTATTAGGAACCCTTTACTAACTTATATCGTTTTTATAGATAACGCTAGCCCCCGGCAATAATAGGGGCAATAATAATAGTAAGCGTACCGCCAATAACGATATAGGTATAACGCTTTTACGTTTTAAGGCGATACTAACCGTATAATAGTTCGCGTTATCGCCCTCGCCGCCGCTTAAGAAAAAGAAATCGGCGGGTAATCGGCCTCCTAAATACCCTCCTAATAGTGTTTATACTAAGCTATACCTCCCTTATACGCGCGATATCGCTAATAGGAAGTATAAGCGCCTTTATTATAGCTAGACTAATCGGGGGAAGAAATACTATATATACTCTACGAAAATATACCGGTATACTCCTCTCCTAGTATACCTTAAAGGCTACCAGTAGAGGTTATTTAAGACGGCTACCCTTATTAGCGACGATAATAAGAACGCCCTTATAAGAATTCCTCCCCTTAAGAGGTCGCGATAGTATCGCTAACTCTTCTACTAAGAGTAGGAACTATATCTTAACGCCTACGTGGTATTCTAGAATACCCTTATAGCTAGGGAAGCGATAACGGCGATATTATCTATAGCTATATATCCCGCGGAGGCTCCCGGCACGGTAATCACGTCAGCCCTTTCTCCTCCTTAGGAGGTCTAAAAAGCGGTAGTACCGTAATTAGC